TGATAAATTACAGGCTAAGAGAGGACCTCCTGTCTGTGACACAGAAACACACACCACTAAACACACATATGGCACAAACACTGATGAGATAACTGGCTTCAGTCACTGTGACTTACGCCATCACATTGATGCAATTCAGTTGAGCGCTCCTCCCTCTCTACCAAACATGGTCACTTCTGGCTCCGAAAATCCAAGATGGCGACAACGAAAGTGCAAAACTCAAGGCTTCAAAGTAGGAGTCCACAAACCCATGGATGACGTCACAGTGGCTACGTCCATTACTCTTTTACAGACTATGGTTTAGACAGAGAAATACTAGCTTTAACAAGAACACAGACCCACTTATTTGTGTAACTCTACTTTGCCCTCACCATCGTACTGTGTGTTTGTACAGTACATGTGTGATCAGAGACAACTGTGAAAATGGAAAGCAAGACTAACAACTGCCTATTGCATCCTTTTAATGCAGTCATAGTTTGAGACTGACGTTGTTCAAATATTCCAGTATCAAAGCTAAGGTGATTAAGCATTTTAGGCTATATGGCAAAAAAGTGAGTGGCCACCTCAACACTAAACCAAAGTTGTCTTACAGCTATGGGTATTAATGTGCTACTATAACAGCCACTGATCCTCTGGTTTCAGGCTCTTCAGGATGGCAGCGTAAGTCTGACCACTCCACTGGAATCATTCCTATATTTTAACTTTTTATTACAACTTAGTTTATCCTCACATTATGTATTGTAATACTGTTGGGCCCAGTGCCGTAACAGAAACACATTCCCCCTTAGGGTAAAAATCCCCCCCAAAAAACCTTGGACTCTGAAGACCCCCCCCCCGCCCCCGCCTCGCGGGGGTGCGGGGGTATAATTTACAGGCGTGGTTGGGCTGCCACATCCCACTTATCTTAAAAAGATTTTTATAATTCAAAAGAAACTTTTGAGATTGATTACCTTTGCTTAAAGATGCGACTCATCTCCACCTCTTATTCGAAAATATCAACTTCTATCAATTTTTAATATGAAAATATACCAGACTTGCATATTCATGTATGCATATGGACATCCAACTCTTGACTTGCCCAGCATTTTCCAGAACTTTTTCAAGTCCTCATTAGACATTCACATATATTCCACAAGACACTCTAAGGACTTTTATCTTAAGTATTGTCGAACTTCCCTAAATCAATATTCACTGAAAAACAGAGGACCATCTCTTTGGAACGACCTACTTCCATCTCTAAAATCAACATCTACATTATCGTTATTTAAAAACATCTGAAAAGGACTCTAATTTACAAAGACTCGTAACACTTAATTGATTCGTTTGTTATGTTTGTTTGTAAATACGTTTTTTGTAATTTGTACATTTCTATTAATTTCTATTAATTTTGTATTAAGCTCAATGCACCACTGTGCCCAAGTACAGTAGCACATAGCTGCTAGCACTACGATATACTTAGTATTTTTGACTCTCAAACTTTAATATCAGCATCAGTAAGGCTATTCTATATGGTGATTTTGAAACAGTAAGGGATCTTTCCAAAAGTTGGGCCTAGCCCAAACCACTTCCACTTACTTTTGGCCATATAATTTAGAGACTTTAATAGAGCAGAGCAACCATTAAGCCATTAGTGTTACTTTGACACGTAACAGCTTAACTTCATAGTAAACTTTTACATAAACTGGTTAGACACCAGGAGTCAGGTGCAAAATGAACTTTTCTGTCCATGGGCCAAATGGCTCGTGAATGTTTATATTTTACCAGTCACTCAATATATTACTATTGTCTTTGTGGCTGGTGTGTGAAGCAAATCTGCAATAACAGCCACATGCCTATTTTAAGAGCATTTGGCCAGTGGATGGTGCATATTTTGTACCCTGATTTCCCCCAGAAAAATACTTCAGTTCTCTCTGGTACACTTGCATTTTATGTCTCAGGTTTTCTTGGAAATATAAGTATGAATCAATATTATTATGATATGGATAATAATAGGCGCTATGGCTGGAAAGACGAGATGTTTTAGGAAAATACCCAGACACCTGGAAAGAGTTCCAGCCTTTATGCTTGGAAGCAGAAATGTTTGGACTGCAGTCAAACTGAGGACAAGTCAAACTTGGAAAACATGCTAACAGTCAATGAACAGACATACTTCAGTCTGTTTCACCACTAAACTGCTTATACAACTGTAAACAACACTTAAACAGTTCACAATTTTTCAATCTTGTTTTCATATCAGCAATGACCATAATACAGAACTGTTTCAGTTCACCAGCAGTTGACATCTAAACATTTACCATACAGTCATTACATGCGGGAATTTCATACTAATGGAAACTACAGATGCTCTTTTCAAGGATCCTCAGCTAATGTTTCCAGGCTCAGTGTACAATATGAAGTCATATCCTTCCCCGTGGTCTTGATGATTTACACTAATTTACCAATGTCTCCAAATTAGTGTTACTGATGTTAGCACCTCTTTTATTGCCCATTTCCACACATTGAAAAACTGAGTATCTAAGCACCAGGAGGACATTGAAACCTCGGCCCCCGCAGACCTTGAGAGGTAAAAATAAAACAGAGAATTGTGTCCTTTAGCTCAGACATACAGTATGCAACCCAAAGAGAGGAGCTGCAGTGCATGTCACCTGATAGCCCAGCTTGAGGAAAAGGATTTAATAAAACATATTCTGCTCCAAAAATAGCCAAGGGTTTGATGTCTGGCAAGGACATCATCACTAAAGCAAAGAGGACCGGGCTCATGCACATGCACAAAGTTTATGTAATGTTAAGAGCGTGTCAGCCATTAATCTTAAGGGTGGTGGTTTAACTAGTAGAGACCAAATGTACGCATATTTTCAGGGAAAAAATGTAAGTTACTTGGACAAAATGTCAGCTTAATGGATGTCATATAATGTAAAGTTGCTGCAGTACTCAGAAGTACAGGCATGTTTGAATGCAAGCTGTGTTAAGAAGTGTATAATCTCTACTATTACTTTTATGTTCTATAGTATGGTACTTTTGACAACACCAGGAAGAACCCTTACAGTTCTCTGCTGCTCCAACAATAGTGGCAAACTTCAATTTTGGACAAAGAATGATTGTGGAACATCAGCTTAGGTAACAGTGCTTAGCTAATGTAGCTAACGTATTTTGGGCTAATGTTACACTGTCTAGAGGCTGCGGTGTTCCAACAGAATAAATTAACTCAATGAACTAACTGTGGTGTTGTTGTGAAATATAGCATTAGTTTCCATTTCAATTTTATCAATTTTAAATGCGTACTCATCTATTTATTACCCACACCAACCATTTACAGATGCATTCAGCTCAAAGTCACCAATTAACATGATTGTTAAACCAAATACAAGTGTTGTTGTTGATATGTGCTACATATCGAGATAGGCTACCTTTGCAGTTACGCGCATTCTAACAGTATAAATGGAGCTAGTAGTGCCTGTAGTGGGAGCATTAATTGACAGAATATACTGGTCTATCAAAATATGCCATCCCTGAAATCTCAAATAAAGATGTTATAAAAGAGTTTCAAAATATGCTCCCCATATTCTTACAGCGCACTTCCCCCGATAATAATCACTTTTGATAGAGTAGTGTGAACCTGCAATCTATTTGAGCTACATTGGCATTTTTCAACAAGGCAGCATACGTTTAGTGGGAGTCATCTTTTTAACCATGGATAACTTAACTGTTATTTGGCCGACCGTCAAGATCTTTTCATGTTATGCTGAAGTTTGTCATCAATTTCTGGGATGATTTAGAAAATCAACAACCTTACTGCTCTCGTTGTCAGCAGGCAGCAGCAATATGACTTGCCACTGCAGTAATGGCGACGCTGCAAGATGGCGGGAAACACACAAAGCAGTTGCTGGATTTGTGTATATTTGCAGGGTCCAAACCCAAGCTGAGATAACCCTACTGACATCACTATTACATCATCAGGGTTAGCCACAGAAGATGATTTACAATTGTTTTCACAGGGCGAGTAGCACTCCTCGTGACAAGCACTGTACATAGACTTTGATATGTAAAGTGGATGAATCCTCTTTATATTGAGGTTTTTTTAATGAGACACTGTTCCTCTGGGATCTTGTGTAAAAGTCAGAAAAAGGTGCAAGTTGCATTTGTGCTCAACTGACTCTCAAATAAGTTACACAACCTGTAGTTATAGGTGTCCTGTTACTGGAAGTTCACTGCAAGTGCATTTCTTGTTAACTCATCAGTATACTGTTAGTACCCCACTTTCCAGAGAGACACTACTTGCCACCTACTTACTGTCCCTCACACAAGATTAAAGACGAAAGGTGATAGAGCCTTTAAGGCTGTTGCACCGAAATGGTGGAATGCACTACCTCATGAGCTGAGAGCGGCCTCTTCCGTGGACATTTTTAAAAAGCAGTTAAAAACACATCTGTTTAGGCTTGTGTTGCATTAATTGTCCATTGTATCATCTCTGTATTTCGCTGCACTTTACTTTTTATCTGTTTTTGTGTATTTTGCATTGTTTCTGTTATTGTATTTTTTTGTATTTTATCTTGTGAAGCACTTTGTGAGTCCTCTCTGTGAGAAGTGCTATATAAATAAATTTACTTACTTACTTACTTACTAGCTTCCACGTATTTCAGTGCAGGCTGAAAATCACTGTGGAGAGCACAATACTTAGTACTGCCTGAATAATACACTATACTTTGGAAAAAATATATATCAAGTATATTTTATTCACAGTAAATGGGCTCCAATTCAAAATAAGAGCAGTGTCTGGCATTTTGGTTATTATGCTTGTTCGCCATCTTCAACAAGAAGATTGATAGCACTCTTATGAGAGTGCTATCAATCTTCTCGTCCAACTTCCCGTATAAAAGCAAATAAGCGTAGTTCCCAAAACTGTTTAAGTATTCCTTTTCAAAAAACGGACTCTTGGGTTAGTTATTCCAAAGAGTAACTTATTCAGTTATGATCATAGGTAAAAACCTGCCAGTACTCACCCTTCTGGTGTTGTCCAAGACTTTGGGGTCAGGCCGGCCATAGTTGGGAGGGTTGGCGTGGGGGTCGTAGCCCAGTCTGGACAGCATGGGGGCGATGACAGCCATGTCCCTCACAACATCAGCCGGGATCTTCCCCACCCACTTGGACAAGGCCTCCACATTGACAGGCTTGATGACCTGGTCTGTGGACCTCTCCACCCTGGCAAGACACAGAAAAACACTGATTTCAGCTGTGATCTGAAATAGTTTGTCACTTGATCAGTTTTTGGATTGGTTCAACTTCTCCTCCAGACACAGTTTAAATTACGTAAAAATACAAACTAATTTATTAAGACTTAATTTAACATGGTTTTTCTACATGAAAACTCTGAGAAGGGGCTAAAAGCAGATCCACTCTTTCTCTTGATTGTGGTAGGTTTTGATTTCAGCCTTCCCAGCGCTGGAACGGTGTAACTAGGGCTGGACCGGTAACAGGTAGACCAGTAACAGTGTGCATCAGTAGGGCTGAAAAGACACATCAGAGGGATTCTGCCATGCATGTTTGAGCCTCAGTCAGACCAAGGCTTAGATGAGGAATCTGCTGTGCACCAACATCAGCAACTACTGAATGGTAAGTGTAGTTAGCATCTTTTATTTAGTTATGTTGTTTCACGTCAAAACTTTCAGAATGCTAATGCAAACTCTGCTCTCTGTACTGACAAGTCTGCTCTGCTCTGGAGGTTTCAGGTTTCTTTGCCGGTGTAGTGTCAAAGTTTCTTTCCCTGTTAATGTGTGTTTCCTGTATTTGACAGCAACTGGCTTGCGTATTAGTGACATACCTAATCTATCTTGTGTGGAGTAAGTTTGAATCTCAGATTTTAGCGAATTGCACAAACACTGCCCCTCTAGTCAGGGTCAGACATTTTAGGGGATGTAAACAGAAGACAAACACATTTTTGAGTGAAGGGTGACTTGAAGGTTTTGAGGGTTGTTTAAGCATTCATTTGCAATGCCCAGAGGTTCCCAGGTTTTAATACCAAGTGAGTCAACCAAGCGGTTACGTCTTTTTCTACATGATGTACCTGTTACTTTATGCAGCAAGGTTTCTTATATCTTGGAAAAATGCATTTCATTAACCAAATACACTTACCTGTATTTTAGATTTGTGATTATACATTCAATGGCTGTAATCAACCAAAGAAAATCTTGGTGGACTGAAATTCGACCTAATCTTCAACCAATAGATTGGTCAAAGGGGAAAAAATTCGATTGAAAAACAAATGTGATCTCCAATGTGATACTATTTTGAAATAAACTGCGCACTGTAATGCTATTCCACCTGAGCTGTATTTTTGAGTCCATCTCACTACCAAGCTTTGAACAAGACTGATGAGAAAAATCTGACATACTGAACACTGTGGAAGTTAACTTTGGGTTGGTCAGTGTCATATATAACATAACGTTAATATATTATGTTGGCCATCCTGCCCCTCCAATAATGACTGTGGTGTGATTGTATTCCTTCCAGAAGCTCTGTAATCCAGCCTTAAGGTGTAGTGTCTTTTTGGAGACTTATCAAAATGAATTCATAATGGTAAATCCAACACTGAATGTCTTCTGTGATTATTTAGCCGTTGTGCTCATCACTGTCACCAGCCATCCAATCACAGTGGAGAAGGGGCAGGACAAATACCGCAAAGACCAACCATCACAGAGGACAAATAAAAGTGCTGAACAACAACTTTAATATCCACCTGGGTAAAGTAAGGCTTTGGTGGACACATGGCTTTATTAAAGTGACACCAGTGACTGTCCGACCATTGAGACTTTGGTCAGTTGGACAATAGCATATTCACCAACCATGCGACCATTCATCTAGAAGGTGACAGCTCTACTGCATTCTTAGCTATATGCCACTTCTCATACATTACTATATATATAACCCATTAAGACTGCTCCTTATTGTTAACCTGCTTATGTTTCTGATCTGTACTTTGTATTTAATTTTGGCACTGTGTATATTTTGGATCTGCACCTTGTTATCTTATATTTAATTTTATGCACAACGATTTCCCTCAGGATATAAAAGTTCTACCTTATCTTTAATTAGTAAACTTATCAGTAATTCACAAGTCACAGTTATGTTAGTTCTTGCTGGCTCATATCGTGTGTTACAGACCCACCCCCTGTTTCTGAATTGCTGTCATTAGCAGTACTGAATGTGCACACAGTTCCCTTTGAGCCTTGCACAACCAAGTGCAACAGTTAACACACTTTCAACAACATTTAGTGACCACCCCTCACTGCATGGTATTAGCATCTGTAATCAGTCAGAGCATTAGTGTCGTTAGCTCAGCTTGTCTCCAAATGGCCTAGTTTGCAATAGACCGGTCCATCTCTCAGTTCTGTCCACTGTGAGGATATAATATGCTGTAATTTGATCAAGAGACAATATTAAAGATCATTTCCTGGCCTCTCTGTCTCAGAAGGTCCCTGTTAAATATGCTGAATAAATTACCCTTCACTCTATCAGTTAATTCCTCTGTCAACATGCATCACATTTCATATGATTAACCATTCGTGCTCAGCCTGTCTCAAACTCAACATATGAGATGAGCAGCTTCCTTCAGCTCAGTTATTCAGTTTGATCCCAATGAATAGGTCCAAGGGGAACTATTTTGAGATCTGTGCAAGGTCATTAAAGGGATAGTGCACCCAAAAATGAAAATTCAGCCATCATCTACTCACCCATATTAGGCACCCATAGGCCCTGGTGAAGTTTAGAGTGCTCACATCCCTTGTGGAGATCGGCGGGCGGAGCTGACAGCACACCTAATGGCAGACGGCGCCCCAGACTAACGTCCAAGAACACAAAATTGAATCCACATAGTATCTCCATACTGCTCATCCATAGTGATCCAAGTGTGCTGCAGCCGCGACATAAAAAGTTGTTTTGAAAAACGTCATATGAACTCTGTTTTTAGCCTCACTGTAGCCTGTAGCTCTGACTGCTTCTCTGTGCTCTGTGTTCACGTGTGCACGCTCAGGGTGATCGGTGATGCACGGTCTCTGAAGAGCAACAGTCTCGTCAGTACTGATGTCCAGATTCTCAAGTGCAGGCATCGCCAATTCCCAGTCTGAGCAGCAAAGACTTTCCTCACCCGTTGGCATTGCTTTGCATTTGAAACAACTACACCACCAGGTTTCCAGTGCTCGACTCCGGTATTCTGCGGCTGGCTGCCCCTGCTGTCTCCCCCTGCAGTGCACGTGTCACGTGATGTAAACACGGGTGAGCAAAGCTCATGCTTGCGCTGGTCTCGCGCAGGCGTGCACACGTGAACGCTGAGCACAGAGAAGCAGTCAGAGCTACAGGCTACAGTGAGGCTAAAAACAGAGTTCATATGACTTTTTTCGAAACAACTTTTTATGTTGCGGCTGCAGCACACTTGGATCACTACGGATCAACAGTATGGAGATACTTTCTGGATTCAATTTTGTGTTCTTGGAAGTTAGTCTGGGGCGCCGTCTGCCATTAGGTGTGCTGGCCGTTCCCCCCGTCGATCTCCGCAAGGGATATGAGGACTCTAAAACTTCACCAGGGCCTCCATCGGCATATAGGTGAGTAGATAATGGCTGAATTTTCATTTTTGGGTGCACTATCCCTTTAATCTTTAAAAGAAAGCTAGAGAGTCAACATAACTCGCCAAAGATGACATCTGGAGTTCTTCACAGTGGCAGCACTTCTGAATTTATAAAGAGTTTGTTTGATAAAATTGTCCCGTTACTCGTTTTTTGAGAAACTCAGGCTTCTTGTTAGTTAACTTAGACTAAGTGTCTGTTGTTAATAGTAAAGATGAATAATACTCCACTCATCCTTTCACATTATCAGCCATGGGTGTTGGACCATTTTTAAAAGGAATCTAACATTATGTCATACTGAGGTAAATTATTCATTGTCTGAAATTAAATATTCAACAAACGAGGGGATTGGTGCTGCTGGACTACATCTTTTGTTTTATGGAATGAGCATAATTTACCACCACTGACCAGCAGGAGGGATCTGATGTCAGATATATGATGATGTTTATGACCGCAATGTTAGCAACCTAACAAACCATGGGGCACAATGATAGCAACCTGTTAGTCCCTCCTTACATACTGTAATTGGGATGTTTTCTTTCCTTTAAATGTGCACATATCTTGGGGCGTCGGTGGCTTAGTGGTAGAGCAGGCGCCCCATGTACAAGGCTGTTGCCGCAGCGGCCCGTGTTCGACTCCAGCCTGTGGCCCTTTGCTGCATGTCATTCCCTCTCTCTCTCCCCCTTTCACACTCAGCATTTCCTATCGATTAAAGGCAAAAATGCCCAATAATATCTTTAAAAAAAAATGTTTTAAAAAGTGTGCACATATCTGGCTGAATTTTAGACTACACAGTGCATGGATAATTCTGAGTGCATTTCCTAATTGTTAATTGTTTTTTTTAGCATAGTTTGAGTTACTGGATCAAAAGCATTCATGATTGGAATGCCTGCTTTGTCAATCAAGTGTATATCAGACCTTTGTGCTATACTTTATTTTGTTCAAAAAAACAAAAAACAAAAACCACATCCCAGTTAGCGTAATGTCACCAGCGAAATGACATACCTGAGAGCATGGCATGTGAAATAAAAATACAGGGACTTTACCAAAGTGGGAGGCTTCCTCACACAATGTAACTTCCTGCTGCAAGGAGTCTCTCAAAAAATAACTAAAGACAGAGACTGATGAAATCATGAAGTTGCGTAGGATCATGTGACTTGTTGTCTCGCTGTTAAACAACCACCGTTGCCTTTTATTTTCAGATCAGGCTCCCTCCAGTATTCATTGTTGACATGGTTTTTACTGGGAGAATAACTGTCAGCAGAGGTTTTCTCTCCCTCCACCCCAAAGACCCGATACTTAAAACAAATAAAAACACTGAATAAAGCAGTTTCTTAAAAATCAGTGTTTCTCTGACTCTCTTCAGTGGCCAGATATCAGGAGGCGCTGCTAGCTGAGCTGCCACTAACAATAGCTCAGCGTATACCTAGGCGATCAGCTTGTTTTAAAGTTAGAATTCCTTCAGTGTTCATCACTCACAAGGTTTTTATCTGGAGCTGAATAATCCACAGAGGTCTCTTCCTCTCTAAAACAAACAGACCCAGTAACTTAAACCAGTAAAATCAGTCAATAAAGCAATTT